TTAAGCGCGCAATGTAAGTTGGGAAGTTGATTATTAAAGCAGCATGGCGGACTTCTAGATTAAATTCGTGTGTCGTATCCGTTCATTGCAATAATCCAGTTCCATCGGTTGTGGAACGTGACACTACCTTTGCATGTTTTTCCATCCTGTTGTAAAGCATATCCGTTATTGCAAGCACACTTTTCCTTTCCATCAGATAAGAGGCAGATGTCGTCGCAGCCAATGGAATTTTCTTGACAAGGGTACTTGGCTAAAAAAAAAAAAATTAAAGGAGAATATTTATTTTGTAATGATTTTTTTTCTATTATATCCATTCCGGAAGACCTGCTAAGTGAAGTAGCGTACCGAACGCATTGCAAACTGTCACAAATGGTCGGAAATGGTTCTTGATAACCCTGTAATGGCAATAAACTCTGTTTATAATTAAACAGTGTCTATCGAGCCCAATATAGCCATCACTGTTAACTGCGTGGCATTTTTTAATTTTCATTTATAATATAGATAGGACTCTGCGCGCGCTCTGATTGGTCAAAAACCCATGTTTTTTTTTCAGAGTATATAAAATAACTGAAATACTACGCACACTCTGATTGGTCAATGCAGTTGCTAAACCTATGGTTTATTGTACCGGTAAACCACGGTTACCGATCTATGGCAGCTCTACGCGGGAATTAGAGAACTCCGAACTCTTTCGATAACAAAAGTAATAATCAGTTTTGCGGTTCACTGGCTGAGATATCAATAACACGAATATCTTTTCATTCAACATAGCATTTTTTCAAGGAAAAAAAAAGGACCAGAAGCTGGTCGTCATATAAAGCTTTATCTGTTTTTTCCACGGCAAAAATTTTACGTCGACTCCGGTTACGCTTGAGATTAAAATTGAGGAAGTTTTAAACCCTTTTTTCGGTGCTTTCCACGGCCTGTGGAGGACGGAGTCAGCTGGGCTTGACTGATCAATTTGGGGTGTTAAAAAAGCAGGCAAAAGATTTCTTTCTATCAGAAATTTTAAGTTTAAATTCAATGCATGCATGCATAACACGATAAATGAATCTGGTTTCCATAAGCTTAGCTTTCAAGCAATAGTTTTCATATCGCAGTGTTTCTGTAACTAACCTTTATTCCGTTCGCAAAACTTTGGAAAGTTATCGTTAAACAATGCGTTGAATCACTTCGCCGAGCTCATGAACTTTGGCAAACTTGCAAACTTTTCGTACAGCCTTTTACTTTCGTGATCACCGATTCCACCTACGAATCCCTGCATTTCCCCGTCAGAATACTTTTGAGTTAATTAATATTATTTTTGCCTTTCACCGATAACCTTTTCCTTTCCTTTCTTAAATCTTGGAGTGAAATGTTTTCGTCGCTTTGCTCTGCGGATTTCGTGTCCGGCGCCCAGTCTGTGCTTTCATTCTTTCAGTCACTGTGATTGGTTTGTCGCGTCATGTCATGAATTTGATGAGAATAAGCAACTTGATCACGAAAGTACAATAAATTTCCTTCTCATTGACACGCTTTTTCCATAGTTATTACATAAAAGCGATAGACCACTCTTTCTATGGGTTTACCGGCGCAATAAACCACCTGGGATGTTGGGAGAACACTCGAAAAGCCTGTAAATCACTCGCCTAACGGCTCGTGATTTGCAAGCTTTTCTCGTGTTGTCCCAACATCCTGCGTGGTTTATTTCCCCAGTAAACCCATAGAAAGAGTGGTCTATTGCTTAAATAGAACATAGAAAAGGCGTGTTTTATTGTTTTTCGCGACATTACCTCTATATCATAAAGCAAATGAAGAAGCCTGAGCCGTGTATTACAATGTGATAAAACACTCCGGACATTTGAGAACACTAGAAAATGTAGAAAACACTCGCCTGCGGCTCGTGTTTTCCACATTTCCCTCGTGTTCTGAAATGCCCGTCGAGTTTTATCAGTGTAATACACGGCTTAGGTTTCTTTATTTGTTAATCCAAGTATTACAAGTTTAATCTTTTAACAGAACATAAAATTAAAAACGAATATTGTCTAGACTGTTTACCGCCTCTCTATTTTGGCTTTTCAAAGCACGCGAAAAAAAAAAAAAAAAAAAAAAAAAAAAAAAAAAAAAAAAAAAAAAAAAAAAAAAAAAAAAAAAAAAAAAAAAAAAA